TGACGGCTGTCTGAGACGGAGCGTCTCCCTCTTCTGTGAGTCTCGTTCATGTTTCTTCACGTATCATCTGTGTTTCCACCACTGGAGGGCGCTGTGGATTATTGATGTGTGGGAACAGTAACCAATCACTGCAGTATGAATGGTTCTCTTTGGTCATGTGAAAATTTGATCTCTGATCAGTATGTTCTTTGTTTTCAGGCCTGTTTCTGCTGACTGCTGCAGGTGAGCTGATATTCCTACACCTGTCTGTCCTCATCATGACCTCTGACCTTTGGTGAACTTTAGTGATCTCTCACCTTTAGTGACCCCTGTCCTTCTGTTGCAGGTGTGTGTGTGCTGCTGGTGAGGTTTTTTTTTATTTTTTCTATAGGTGAGTGACAGTAAAAACATTCAATTATTTTTCTGGTTATGTGTCTGTGACGGTTCTCAGTCATCCAGTTCATTGTGGTGTAAGGAGCTTGGAAAGAAAAGAAGTTCCATCTTCACCAAGGCGTTCCCAGGCCAGCCGAGAGATATAATCTCTCCAGCGTGTCCTGGGTCTGCCTCGGGCCTCCTCCTGGTGGGACATGCCCAGAACACCTCACCCAGGTGGCGCCCAGGAGGCATGCTTGTCAGATGCCCGAACCACCTCAGCTGGCTCCTTTCGATGTGGAGCAGCAGCTGCTCTACTCTGAGCCCCTCCCGGATGGCTGAACTTCTCACCCTATCTCTAAGGGAGAGGCCAGCCACCCTTCGGAGGAAGCTCATTTCTGCCGCTTGTATCCGCGATCTCGTTCTTTTGGTCACTACCCACAGCTCGTGGCCATAGGTGAGGGTAGAGACGTAGATTGACCAGTAAATTGAGAGCTTTGCTTTTTCGCTCAGCTCTCTCTTCACCACGACGGACCTGTGCAGTGTCTGCATCACTGCGGCCACAGCACCAATCCGTCTGTCGATCTCCGGCTCCCTTCTCCCATCACTCGTGAACAAGACTCCGAGATGCTTAAACTCCTCCACTTGGGGCAGAGATGAGATTCTGAGGCCACGTAACTGAAATCCCTCCGCCACTTGGCTGCACCTAGAAATCCTGTCCTTAGAAAATTATGAACAGAATCGGTGATGGATGGATAGATTCAGATAAACAATCTGTAACACATCCCAGATGTACACATTTCTTGAAAAAGTAATGAATTTTGTAAATTAATTTGACATTAGAAACATAAGTCAAGGCTTTGAGTCTCTTGACTCTTCCTCTATGTCTTTCTCCTTTAGGTCCTCCACTTCTTTTTTCTGAGTCTGTGCTTAGACTCTTCTGCCATCTAGTGGTCTTCTGTCTGTACTGCATCTCCACTGGTCTGCTGCTGTCCATCTGCTGTAGCAGGAAGACACGGAACAAACAACCTGTTTCCATGGAGATGACCCAGCGTGATGGAGGTCAACGTTTGCAGCAATTGGATGAAAAGTGTGATGATGTTACTGCTATTATCACCACTGAGCATGCCTTCTGAGCTGCAGAGGCTGTTTTACGATGAAGTTGTGTTTGCTTTCATGGTGGATGTTCTTGAGTGTTCCTGGATTCATGTGTTCATAACTTTGATGTGTAGCTGCTGAAGGTGAATTCTTTAAATGACTCCAACCTCTGCTGGGCTGTGTATGAGCAATCAAACATCTTAAAGGGTTTTTCTGCCTTCAGCTTCTTGTAGAGTCATTAGCTGAGCTCACCTTTGCTAGCATGAGTGTATCTTCATCAGAAATCTCTTTGGTAAAGCTGCTGAACAAAAAGTAGCTGGATTATGTCGTTTTACAGCTTCTAACCTGAAAGCTGGCTGTCATACACAAGATATTCTGTTAATATCAACATAAAAGGCAGACACAGGCACACAGAAACTGTGTGTCTGTGTCTGATTTATAACACAAAGTCTCTACGACTGATTTTGTACAGATGTGCATGTGTGTTGGAGTGTTTGAAGCATCATCAGTGTCTCTGTTATGTTCAGTGGCAGGTTGTTCGTACAGTGCAGAGAGGTCTATTAACACATAGTCAATGTGTTAATAACAGCATAACAAGTAACGGTGTCAGATCTTTCTCTCCATTTTGTGGGTGCAGGACCTTGTTCGATTGAGAGGCTAGTCAGGGACTAGGCGCAGTGGTGATCCAGGATTACCCCATGCACATTAAAACAGGCTAAACAAAGAATAAAAAAGAGACGGTATAGCAATTCAGATTCAGAAGACTTTATTTATCCCCAAGGGGCAATTAAGAGACTGACCTTGCCGACCGTACATACAATACAGAAACATCACATTTGGGATAAACGCTCTCGATCTGAAAACCTAAACCAGTGTCTCTGGTGAAGTAAATAGAAGGATGGAAACTAACGGTGCTAACAAACTCTTATGTCTCTGGAAATCTAACGGTCTCACAAAAATAAAGAGATTAGTTATCCTATCAACTAGGTTGGCTGATTGTGGACAAACGCTGAGGTAAAATCATCAACTATTGCTTTGAGAGCTCCAATAAAACAAACTCCTAAAGGTAAACATGCAGGATAGAGGCATAAAACTATGGCTGGAGCCACCAGAGCTTTAGTACATGCCAATTAAAGAAAATAATGAAGGGCGCTTCAAAATATCAATAAGAAGGCTGTGAGTCTAAACCACACACATCACTGTCACGGCTAAGACGTATGGACTCAGATGGAGACAGCACACAGGGGTGAAGAGTATGCATGGAAAACAACGCTTTTATTGACAGAATTGACAGCACTATTAGTTAGTGTTGTGCTCCACAGTTCACTCAGCGTATATGAGACAAGAATGTGCAACAATGTCAAACTAAGACTGACTCAGGGGTGTTGATTCATTTAAACTAACATAATCATCCTGCTGCAACCAGGTTTCTGTACGGCAGAGTAAATCGATTTGTTGATCAATTATTCAGTCATGTACTAACAGACTTGGAGGAGAGAGACCTAATATTTAATAATCCACATTTCACTGTTTTACTCTTTGGTTCAGATGTGGATACTGTATTGTTCTTTCTTTGTAATTGTTTATGTTTAAGTTGTTTGTTGCTGGTTTTTAGTTTGTTTTTCGTCTTTTTGGAAGCTGACACAGTCTCTATGGAGATGGGTTTTTGGGGGGGTAGCAGGAGGAGAGAAGCTGCAGAGAGGCGTGTAAGACTGCAACTCTGCTTCCTGGTCCCAACTCTGGATAGTCATATTTTGGGGGTTTAATAAATTTGTCCATATTTCTAGAAATGAGAGCTGCTCCATCCAAAGTGTGATGGATGCCGTCTCTCCTAACAAGACCAGGTTTCCATCAGAAGGTTTGCCAATTATCTATGAAGCCCACATCGTTTCTGGGACACCACTCAGACAGCCAGCAATTTAAGGAGAACATGCAGCTAAACATGTCACTCCTGGTCTGATTGGGGAGGGGACCAGAGAAAACTACAGAGTCCGACATTGTTTTGGCAAAGTTGCACACCGATTCAATATTGATTTTAGTGACCTCCGATTGGCGTAACCGGGTGTCATTACTGCCGACGTGAATTATGATTTTACTGTATTTACGTTTACCCTTAGCCAGCAGTTTTAAATTTCCTTCAATGTCGCCTGCTCTGGCCCCTGGAAGACAATTGACTATGTCTCTAGTTTCACATGTCTGAGAACAGAATCACCAATTACCAGAGTTTGACCCCCGGCGGGTGTGTCACCGATTGGTGAAAAATGGTTAGACACATGAACAGGTTGGTGGGGCTTCTGTTTAGGACTATGCTTCCTCCTCACCATCCCCCTAGCCGCCCTCTTTCCCCAGCTGCTTGGGGTCTGCCGGGGAACAGCTAGCGGGGCCTACGCTATCTTTGGCTGCACCAGCTACAGGGGCCTGGCTAGCTACAGGTGAATGAAGGGTGCGAAGCCGAGTCTCCAATTTCAGTAATCCTGGCCATCCGCTGGTTTCCTCTTTCTGGTGCAAAGTGGGCGATAAACAAACAAGAGAGAAAAGCCGATCAGCTGATCATTGATCAGTTTCATGATTGAAGTAGCAACAGGAGAGGGAAGGGGAGAGAATGAGAGAAGGAGAGGCAGCCGCAGCGTAAAGAACCAGAATAACTCCACCTTTGTGTCTTTTTCCATTCTAGCTGAAGGACGGGACAAACTGTATTTCTTTTCAGCTCAATACGAAATGTGTAATATTTTCTCTGAATGCAGGACGATTCCCTTTCTTCTGTTTGTCTGCGATAAGATTGCTTTCAAAGCTGTTGCCCAAAGGTGGAACACCTCCTCGGCTGTAATGGGTCCAGCCCAGAGTCGATTGGGACCAATTGGCCAATCCAGCATCGTTTATACCATTAAAAAAAAAAAAACACCAGCCCACCACGCAAATGCCCATTATGTCCGTTGGCCACTCCAGCTGTGCATTACACGCATTTGTATGAATACAACCTCTTCCACTTAAAGCGTAAACAATACAACTTCGAATATGTGAACACATTTTAAATAGTTTCTCTCTGTATTTGAACCATTATTGTGCATTTTTGAACATTTAAACACATCATAAACTTTTTTATGATTATATTTAGTTATCAAAATAAAAGATACGCTGATATACTGCTGTTGATACGCTGCTATTCACAATATCACTGTTATGTCTATTTTTAATGCCGACAGCTTTTATAATACTAACATTTAAAGTCAGTTACTTTGGTCGTGATAAGCTGATCACGTGTGATTCTCTAATGATTATCTAACAATAATCTAATAATCTAATACCATGACTGTTAAAAACAGCTGGTTACCAGTACAATGATGTTCTGAATCACTGTCTCATATAAATATATATATATAAGACAATCTGTGTTATTATTTAGGTGTAACCCAACACACATTCTGAACAATCACAGAAATCCGGTTAAACTAAACTGACAGGTAGAGCGAGTTCATCCGCTGCAAAAGGTTTTCCTGCAACGACTTCTGCACAGCACCTTTTACAGGTGGAGGGAGTGCCACTAAGAAAACTCTGAGGTGAACGTACCAGCTCTAAATAGCTGCTGATGTCCTTTATCAGCAAAGGAAGTTTGACCAGGAAACTAAAACAGTTAAAGTGTCGCAGAAGAGAAGGAGAGGATGTTAAAATCACCGTTCTCTGTGTTTCTCTTCTGTTTGCTGGGACATCTGGACTGTACAGGTAAGCCGTGTGTACCTATGTGAATAAACCTGCTGGTTGCGGGGAGAGATGTGGGGAGTTTTACACTGTGTACTTTACTGCAGTGTCTTTGAAAGTCAGCGTGACAGTGTAGAGTAAATGTAGGCACACGGGTAAAGGTGAGACAGGGAAATGGATTCAATGGAGTCATCTTAAGTTTACTTTCATTTTGACGTGTCTGAACGTAATCGCGCTGACACTCGACACACAAACCTCGAATAACGAGCAGCTGAGACTCTGCTGTGCCGTAAACATTAAATTTGAACAAACTTCCGTATTTTGCCGTAAAATAGATCATATTATTACTAAGATTGATGCAGTTTTTGACAAAGTTAGTGCGCATGCTGAGGGCAGGATGCTTCCGCATGTCTGTCTGTCAGTGATGCGTGACAAGAATCCACAGATCAGGACTGTCAATAAAACTTGTTTGGTAACAGGACTGTAAGCTGAGCCACACTGACAAGAAACAGAAACAAGTTTGGAGAATCTCAAATTTTAGTTTTTACAGTGGTTTACTGCATTTATGGTTTAGTGAAGTTATGGTTGTTTTAAATAGTTACTATAAATCTGAAGTACAGAACCAAATTAGTTTAAATATGAATGCAGGTTAGCTGAATGAATGGATTGTTCAGGGTTTAGAAATATACTGGAAAATAATTTAAGGACATTTTAAATCAGTCAGTAATTATTAATAACAAATTTGTCTTGTTCTTATTCTCAATGATCCATGTAGGTAAATCCCAAAAGGTTGATTCTGTTCATCTGGATCTTTTCAGTGGGAGAAACATTTCATCACTGATCCAGGTGACGTCTTCGGTCTCAGCTGACTGCAGATTTCCCCATAATGACTGGCATAATGACTGAAACCAGCCCACTGAATCTAAGGAGCTTGGGAGAGACTGGACTTCTTTAAGTTGCTTGAAGACATTTCACCTGTCATCCAAGAAGCTTCTTCAGTTCTACGATCAATTGGTCGAGGGTCCCAGATTTAAGCCCTAGGGGAGTGTCCCCCCAAGAGGGACATGGACCCCCTAATGATCCTCTACCTAATCAAACAAGCCGAGGTCAAACAGATGTCGGTCACAAGAAACGTAAAGAAGTCCAGCCACTTTTCTTTCCACGCTCCTTAGACTAAGGCTACGTCCACACTAGCCCGGATAGATTTGAAAACAGCGTTTTCGTCTGAAAACGCTCTGCATCCACACTAGCGTTTTCAGTCGTTTTCACAGAGTTGCGCGTCCACATTGAAAGCGCTTATGTTCCAGTACTGCGCATGCGTGAAACGCAAGAAGATTAGGCCTGCCTCATTTCTGTCTGCCGTTTATTTACTTTGCGACTGTTGAAAAGTCTCTTTGAAAAGCACCGAGTTTTTTAAATGGACTAACAATGAGGTGGAGTTGTTTCTGCAAGTAACACAAAAGTACAAAGTTGCAAAAGTGAGTGAGAATTAAAGAATTTGAAGAAAAGCTCTCTGGAGCACGTACAGACTAATATTAATCTTTAACAGGGCTGTCAAACAAAACAACTGCTGTATAATGCCCTCCACTATCTTAGTTTAATTGGTCACATGACTGCATCATATGACTAAAATGTGTGGGCTTAATGGAGCTCACAGATTCTGCTTCAAGGAACATCATCATCATCAGTGTGTTTCATGTAACGTGGTCTGAGTGTTGTTTGACTGAGTGTTCAGGTTTGAGTCCAAACAGGTTAAAAAGGCCACTCTGCTGGTTCTGTGTTCATGTCCAACACAAAGCTCACATAACTGCTGAAAGCTGTTTCTTTCTCTCCTCAGTTTCCCAGCATGCATCTAGGGTGCAGGTGTATGAGGGGGCGGAGTTTGTCCTGCTGCCCTGTCAGGTACCAGCTGATGTTTCCAGTGACTCCACAGCTGTGGTGTGGAACCGTGATGAGTTCACGATCCCAATGGTCCACAAGCGTGTGCAGAGCAGTGACGATCTTACAAACCAAAACCTTCGTTACCTCGGTTGAACATCAATGAGAGCCACCGCTCTGCAGACTGGAGACCTCAGCCTCACTCTGAGGAACCCCACAGTCTCTGACAGTGGAACCTATACCTGCACCGCCCGCAAGACTGGAGACAATCTGAAGGAGATCCATGTGCAGCTGAAGGTCTCAGGTGAGTGGACAAAGGTCAGAGGTCAACTGCAGAGGTCCTGAGGTCCACACAGACTTCATGCATGAACATGTTCAGTTAAAGTAAAGTGAGATGTGAGTGTTTCTGTCACAGAGGTTCCTATCTGCTCTAATAATAAGGTGTGTGCTCTGAGGTCATCTGGTTTCACAGACCTTTAGTCTTTTATGTGTGTTTGTGCTCAGACTGAACCTCATTAACTTTAAACTAACATCACTCTGTGAGGCCGAAACCTCAGAGTTTAAACTCAGAGAGTTTTACAGTGTCTGAACCCTGCGGCCTGTGGTTCAGTTCTTACCACAGAGTAACCTGATGATGCTCTGAGTAACACAGGTAAAATATTAATAACAGATTCATGTAATCATGTCATTGAACATGTTGGATGATCTTGTGTTTGTGTTACAGAACCTCCTCCCCGCTGGCCCATAGTTGTGGCATTCGTGGTTCCTGTGCTCCTCCTGGCTGTTATCTTTGGTGCCCTCGTGTACCATGCAAATAATAAAGTAAAGAACAGAGCAGGTTAGTGTGTGACACAGTAACTTCACTGACCTTCACCTCCAGTATGTTAATGCTGATGTCTGCAACCTTTTACCTCACACGTCCTTAAACTGCTGATCTGGAATCAGCCACAAACAGCAGCAGGTTCCAAACATCCCTGAAACTAATAACTGATGATGCTGAGGATGTTCCATCAGCTGTCCACACACCTCTGAACTATGTTAAGCGCAGAGGTGTGTGGAAGAACACAGGAAGCTTTCAAAATAAAATAAAAAAACACAGAACACAAAGAAAAATAACAAAATAAGAGCTCATTTTAAACTAAATGTGAACTTTCTGTTAAAATATGTAGTCTGTGTGACCTTTAGTCACAGACTGTTACGCTGATGGATGGCAGCTGTCAGTGTGTAATCCATAGAGACAGCTGAGGTGTTGTCATGGTAACAGCCTTTTTACATGATGGAGGTGAATGTATCAGCTCATTGTTTCAGGCTCACACAGGTACTGTAACAAGTGAGCTCATGTTCAGTGTCACAGCTCTGCTCTCTTCTCTCAGTCTCCATGCTGAAAGCAGAGAAGGTGACAGAGGGGGCGGAGTATATCAAACTGCTCTGGGATAAGAGTGAAGTTCCGCCTGCTGCTGTCAGAGTGAAGTGGACACGTGAACAACCCGAACATGGAGAGATCTGTGAGTGTGTGAAGGATCAGACGGGTCAGTGGAAGCTCGAGTCTGGTCCTGTTTATAAAGGTCGTGTACAGATGGATCAGCTGACTGAAGGAGACTTCACCCTGACTCTGATGAAGCCTCGCTGTGATGATGGAGGTGTTTACTTGTTTGTCGTCTACGGCCAGGATGGAAAACCCATTAAAATGACAGTAGTGGTGCTGTGGGTCAAAGGTCAGTATGACAGACTGTGAGGTAGACTGAGCTGAGACAAACAGAAAATGAAGTGTCACTGCAGTCACACACAGTCACCGTCATAACACTGCTCATCCACATTAACCTGCACGCACCTGTGATATTATTACTATTATTAATATTATGCCGAACTTCTCACAGACTCTGATCAGTCACTGACATTCACAGAAACACTTTAGAATCTGTTTGGTTGCTGCATTTATTGTGAAGGAAACACAGGAAGTGGAGAGGTACACAGAAAACGGATCAGAGTGAGTGAGTGAAGGATGCTGGGTAAGATGAAGGAGGACGGCTGTGTCCCAATTCAGGGTCTGCAGCCTTAGAGTACGCAGCCCTAACGGGTCACAAGGGCCACGTACTCAAAGACCGCTAAAGCCGGAAGTGAGAGGCTTGTGAAATGGGATGGTCTGGCCTTCATCATGCTGCTCAGGTTGCCTAGCAACCATGATACTAACCACGAGAAACGTTTCATACAGCATTGTTTGAAAGAAATGAAGGAGAAAAAATATTTTTTGTTCATTCATTTTTTTAATGACATCACTTTGATCAGTTGAATATCTGTGGCTGAGACCACGGGACTGTAAAACATGATAGTTGGGCTTCATTTCTGTACTGAACAGTCAGTTTAAGCTAGTAAATAACAATTAGTTAATGTTGTTCATGAGACTAAAGTCATTTCACTTTGGTAATGTAAATATAATTTGGCCAATATTATAGTTATTGTCAGATTATTATAATATACACTCAACAAAAATATAAACGCAGCACCTTTGTTACTGCTCCCATTCCCCATGGGATGGACGTAGAGACCTAAAATTCATTCCAGATACACAATATAACCATCCCTCCCAAACAGTGGTCACAAATCAGTCCAAATGTGTGGTAGTGGGCACATCTGCTATATTGAGATAATCCATCCCACCTCACAGGTGTGCCACATCAGGATGCTGATCTGACATCATTAGTGCACAGGTGTACCTCAGACTGCCCACAACAAAAGGCCACCCTGGAATGTGCAGTTTTGTCTCACAGCAAAATGCCACAGATGCCACAAGCAATGAGGGAGCGTGCAATTGGCATGCTGACAGCAGGAATGTCAACCAGATCTGTCGCCCGTGCATTGAATGTTCATTTCTCAACCATAAGCCGTCTCCACAGGCTCCACACTTTCAGCTTGATGTGTTTGTGGATATATGACTTTAATTATCCACAAAATCATCACATTCTCTGTAAGATTAAGGTCGACTATTGAACGGCGTATATTTTAAAGTAAAGGCTTTAAAACCAAGTTAGTACAAATAATAATAATGGATTGGATTTATATAGCGCTTTTCAAGGCACCCAAAGCCACTATTCATTCACTCTCGCATTCACACACTGGTGGAGGCAGCTACGGTTGTAGCCACAGCTGCCCTGGGGCAGACTGACAGAAGCGAGGCTGCCATATCGCGCCATCGGCCCCTCTGGCCAGCACCAGTAGGCGGTAGGGTAAAGTGTCTTGCCCAAGGACACAACGACCAGGACAGAGAGCCCGGGGATCGAACCGGCGACCTTCCGGTTACAGATACGCTTCCCAACCCCCTGAGCTACGGTTGCCCCACAAACATCACTAATGTCACATAACTTTGCCGACATGTGGCCAACAGCAATGTTTTAATGTTCTTCATTATTAAACATTTGCACATAAATAAGTGACATAATATTCAGTACTTACTTTTGAAAGTTTACTCTTCGGCCGCCCTGCTTCAGCCATGCACGTTTTTTTTCCGGCAAAATTATCCACACCCACCGCCGCGCTATGAAGTCTGGGCTATGGTGGGCAACGAAGGATACACAGACCCATCCTTAAAATTCAGGGCAATGAAGGACGCATTTCGAGCAGCCTTTGAATTGGGACAGCCTTCGTCGCGTTTCTGATGTAATCGGCCTTAAAATGTGGCCTTTAAGGCTGCAGACCCTGAATTGGGACACAGCCGAAGTGTGTGTTTCCACCTGAGATTATGGATCTGACCTCAGCTGTTCTTCATCACTCTCATGTTGATGATGTCACTGCTGTGTTTGTCCTCTGCAGAGACCTGGTGGAAAATCATCACAGGCTTGTCTGAGAGGAGAACCCTCGACACTGAAGAAAAGTAAGTGTTCAGTGAGTTTATCTGAAGGTTTGTCATGAATGATTCTCACAGTCATGATGTTTGACTCCTTCCCCTCTGTGGACACATGTTCACATCATCATCATCATATTTACTTAAAAAACACTTTGAAACAATCACAGCTGACACAAAGTTCTGTACATTGGAACTAAATAACAAAATGACATAAGATATAAATAAAAGCCAAATAAAATACAAAGTAAAATAATTCATTAGAGAAACTAAGTCTCACTGAGTTTAAAAGCCAAAGAATAAAAGTGGTTTTAAGACGTGATTTAAAAGTGGACAGTTAAGAGGCTTCTCTAACGTGCAGGGCAAATTATTCCATAATTTTGAAACCACGATAGAGAAGGCCCTGTCCCCTCTGAGCTTCCTCCTGGATCTCGGTACCTCCAGGAGCAGCTGGTCAGCTGACCTGAGAGACCGACAGGGTATGTGGGGATGAAGAAGCTCAGAGAGGTAAGGCGGGGCAAGATTGTAAAAGCATTTAAAAACAAACATGAGAATTTTAAAATGAACTCTAAAAGACACAGGCAGCCAGTGCAGTGAGGCTAAGACAGGGCTTATATGCTCTCTTTTACAAGTTCCTGTTAGGAGTCGTGCAGCCGCATTTTGAACCTGCTGCAGACCCAAGAGCAACAACTGACTGACCCCCACATAGAGTGAGTTACAGTCGTCCAGGCGGGAAGAAATAAAAGCATGGATCACTGTTTCAAAGTGCTTCCTAGAAAGAAAAGATTTTACTGCTGCCAGTTGCCTTAAATAATAAAAACTAGACTTCACCACTGCTCTAATTTGGTTGTCCATCCATCCATCCATCTTCATCCGCTTTATCCGAGGCTGGGTCGCGGGGGAAGCAGCCTAAGCAAAGCAAATTTGGTCGTCCAATTTAAAATAACTGTCCAACTTAAATGGCAAATGGTAAATGGCCTGTATTTGTATAGCACTTTACTAGTCCCTAAGGACCCCAAAGCGCTTTACACATCCAGTCATCCACCCATTCACACACTGGTGAATGGTGGTAAAACCAAACAACAGGTTTAAAATAGACTTCCAGGCGTCCCAAATCACAGAGGACGACTCACAGGGACCACTGGGTCCAAACACCATCACTTCTGTTTTCTTGTCATTAAAATTTAAAAATGTTCAGAGCCAACCAAGTTTTAATGTCATCTAGGAATGTCATGAGAGGTTTTACGGAGATGCCATCCATCTGCTTGAGTGGCAAATAAATTTGGCATAACAATGAAATGAGATCCCATGCCTTCTAAAGATGGAACCCAGAGGCAATAAATACAGTAAATAGAGCAGTGGCCCTAAAATTGAGCCCTGTGGGATGCTGCAATTTGGGGTTAGTATCTTGCCCAAGGATATTTGGCATGCAGACTAGAAGAAGCCAGGAATTGAATCACCAACCTTCCAATCAGTAGATGACCTGCTCTACCGCCTGAGCTACAGCCACCCCACAAACCCTTAATAATGCAGATTCTGTGCTATGAAGGGTTTTAAAACCTGACTGAAAAACCTCAAAGATGCCATTATCATCTAGAAAATCTTTCAGTTGACTAAAAACAATTTCTCTAAAACCTTGGAAAGTAAAGGCAGCTTGGAAACAAGCCTATAATTAGCTAAAACTGTGTGATCAAGGCCAGGTTTTGAAATTTGCAGGAACCACACCAGAAGTCAGACTGCTGTTAATAATGTCAAGGACATACTGCTCTATACTAGGAAAAATTATTTTAAAAATTGTGGAGGAAAAGGATCCTGAGGGGAACCTGCGGGCTTAATATTGTCATGATCCTGGGCCATGTTGGCCCAGCAGTCTTAGTATTCATGTCTTTTTGTGTATTGTTCCTTATTTGATTTCCCCTTGTGACTTTTATCCCCTGTGTGCCCCTCTATGTATCTGAGAGCCCTCGTCTCCCCTCCTTGTGTTTCATTCCATGTTTCCCCAGCCCACTATGCCCGTGCTCTCTCTCTCCTCCGGTCTGCACCTCTGTGTACTTCCTGTTTTACTTTGACAGTCTCCCGTCAGTGTTGTTTACTCCTGCCATGTCTTGTTATGTTTATCTGTGTCAGCTGTGCTCCCATGGTAGCCCACTTCCCCTGATCATCCCTCTTGTGTATTTAGTCTCTGTGTTTCATGTAGTCTGTGTCGCGTCGTCTGTGTTCCCACCCTCCGTGTTTCCATGCCCAGTCTTTTGTATCCCCAGCCATAGCATAGATTGTTCCCAGTTTAGGTTTGTTTAGTTCCTGCTCTTGTGCTGCCCTCATTCTTGTTTGTTTCTTTCGTGATCATCAGCCACAATAAAAGGCTCGCTTTTGTTTAAGTGCACTCCCGTATCCTCACTTGTGTTCGCACCTGGGTCCTCAACACACTCTCCACACGGTCTGCCACTGCGACCGTGACAGTACGACGCGACCATGCCGGACCCAGCGACACAAGAGAGTGGGATCATCCAGACGGTGGAGTCGCTATGTAGCAAATGGCTGCAGTGTTCCGGAGTGGAGGAACGGGAGGAGTTAGCCCGCCAAGTGGGAGTATGCGCGTCTGTATTTCCCTGGTTATGGGAGGCACTACACCCGCTGATCGTTGACTTTCTCGTCACCGCTCTCCAACTCCGTCCGCAGCCGCAGCTGCCCAGTGTGCGGGCTGCGCCGCCAGAGCCCTGCTGTTGTCCTGTTTCCCCGCTGCTTCGCGAGCCAGACGCAGTTAGGGTCGGAACGGTGAGGCTCACCACCGTCACACCATCCGCTCGCGCCTCATCGGCTTCCGGGTCTTCACCGCGGTCTGGCCACACGGCGCAGCGCATGGAGATGACGGAGGCCATAGACTTTGGTGAGGAAGAGCGGCAGCAGGTGTTACGGGCTTATCGGGAGGACGAGCTCCGGTGGAAGCCCTGGCTCATTCTGGAGGAGGAACTCACACCTGTTGCATCGCCTACCAGCCGCTCGCCCTCTCCACCCCGCTCGGACTTCACTTCCCCTGCCTCGCCTTTAGCGAGGATATGGGCAGAGGATGAGATTGCCGCTACGTCACCCTCTGCTTTGGTGGCATCAGCGTCCATGGCACCAGCTACCAGAAAGAAGCGGCGCCGGCGCCGCTGTTGCACCGCGCTAACTCCGGTGAGTGACTGTGTTTTTGTGCCTCACGATCCTTCTATGGAGAAGAGGGAGATGAGCATTGATTTGCCGGGGCCGGAAACTATAGCGGAATTGTGCTCCAAAGCCGACAGAACTGTGTTTAGTTGTTCAGAAAGACCTACTACGGAAATCATGGAGGCCGGCCTCTGTGAGCGGCAGCAAGCAGCTTGCACCCACGTAGAGGAGGAGCTCCGGGGAATGCCGTGGCTCACCCCCGATTGTCAGCACATCTTTCGGGGAACACACCTGGCTCTCGGGGGCCCTCGGAGCTGCCAGGGTCTGCCACCCCTCACTTCCCCAACAGCCAATGCTTCAGCCTCAGTGGTTTCCTCAAGGAAGAGGCGACATCCACGTCGCCGCATCACCATGCAGCAGCTGGAGGTTGGTGGAACTCTCGTTTCCTCTTGGACTCCGTTAATAATAGAGGTTAGTGACAATCTTTCGCCTCAAAGTCTTCCTGAGTTGCTGGAATGTGACTGTCATGAAGGGTTCGCAGACGCTCCAGAGATAAAGACAATTTCTACATGTGCTGGAGGAGCGATAGCGACCCAGTGCTCCTCAACACCACCCATTCTCTTGCTAAACGATGAAAGTATTGATCTCGAACTCATGTTTGGTGTGAAGGGTGGTGATATAACCTCTGGTCATGAGCGGTGTGACTTTAATAATGACACCCTGTCTGTACCCGGTGATCAACTTGACTGTTCCTTAGCTCATCCATCTTGTGACTCATCTACTTGTTATGAATTGTGTAAACCAGAGGAGAACAATTCAAAGCGATCACTGAGTGATGCTCTCACTCCTGTACTCAACAAGCACAATTCACCTGAGTTTTGTGTTCCAGGTCAAGAGAACAGTAATGGCAATGTGGTCTATGCTCTGAACTCTAAGAGTGAATTGTGCCCCCCGGAAGAAGATGGGGCACACATGTCTGAACCATGTAGCTCCAGCACCCCTCAGGGTGCAGGGAATGCTGAGGCTGAGATCTGGGCCTCCGATACTGTCTCTAATGGTCATGTTTTACCGTCAGTTTGTGTAAATTTGGAACCATGTTCTTTTGATTCTTCTAAATCATTTCAGGATGGGGTGTTGGTTGGGAGTGCTACTGATATAGTAAGCTCACAGTCTGCACCACCACTGGCAGCCACAGCTCTATTAGACTCTGTGTTAGCTGCACCTCCATTCATAGATGACTCAGAGTCTCTGTCTAAGTCAGCTTCTGGTGGGGGGGCTAGCTGGGGAATGCAGGCCTGAGACTGCGAAATACCAGGCCGAGCCGCATGATTCCTGTCAGTCAGAGCATAATGAGGCTTCAATCCCCTCTGACAGCATCACTTTTGATTTGTTTGTGACTAATGTGGTCACTGCTAAAGCTAATGGCTCTGTCAAACCAATCACAGAAGAGTTTATTCAGACTCTTGCCGTTAACCTAATGCCAGCCATCCCATCAGAAGGAAGTGTAACTACTGTGTGTGTAAGCACAGACACCGATGAGGTTACAAGTCCACCACATGACTGCAAAATGAGCGTGTATGTGTCTTCTTTGACCAGTTGTGCCGACTTAATGGATGTCCAGGAACCTAGCCGTGAACTGATTAATCATGTTTCTAGGAACGGTTCAGTTATAAATGCAGCTCATGTGGTCGAACTAGCCCCTTTGGTGACTGAAACCCTGTCACAGGTGGACACTGAAGAAACGTCACGTTGTCTTCCTGTGACAGAGGAAATAAACTGTGCTGAGAGCCTTGGGGGTCCACTTTTCGAACAGGGTTTGTCCATAACAGTTAACTTGCTTGCTAGGAATGGCGAGATTTCCGCTAGAGATGGTGCAGAGACTGTTACTGACTCTGGGCAATATTATGGGGTAGATGCTGCCTGTGTGTTCAAGATTAATCAATGTAATTCTGGTGAGGGTGAGGCAGCCAATCTGAGTTTGTGTTTTTCTGCTTCTGAGTTAAAAGAACCAAATACTGAGAATAAAGACTCTGACTTTATGTTTGTGAAGGAAAACGAGAATATGAATTTGGACAATGACAGGCAGACCTCTGAAAGGAACACACACCTAGTACTTGGCTGCGACACCACTTTCTCCCAGACTGCCATGGACATGTCTGTTCTGGGTTCTGAACCAGACGGTGACCAAATGAATAATGTTTTCAGGGGTGATCTGGTGGGAAATGAACCGTGTGATGTTACATTAAATTCCCCAGAGAGTCAGCGGCATCTTTCTTCTGCCAGGGTAACGGCTCAGCCCCCTGCTCAGCTCTCTGTTTTGCCAGGGGTCTCCATAACTGCTCATCCTGCATCTGTAGCTGAATGCCTGGGTGTGCCACTTCAGCACCCTGCAGCAGGCACACCACTTCACGCCACATCAGCTGGAGGGTCCGAGGGTCCCGTCCAGCCTCACGCCACGTCAGCTGGAGGGTCCGAGGGGCCCGTTCAGCCTCCTGTCTCCGCTGGAGGGTCCGAGGGGCCCGTTCAGCCTCACGCCACGTCAGCTGGAGGGTCCGAGGGGCCCGTTCAGCCTCCTGTCTCCGCTGGAGGGTCCGAGGGGCCCGTTCAGCCTCACGCCACGTCGGCTGGAGGGTCCGAGGGGCCCGTTCAGCCTCCTGTCTCCGCTGGAGGGTCCGAGGGGCCCATTCAGCCTCCTGTCTCCGCTGGAGGGTCCGAGGGGCCCGTTCAGCCTCGAGCCACGTCAGCTGGAGGGCCCGGGGAGCCCGTCCAGCCACCATCTACTTCTGCGTTGTCTGGTCCAGCCGCAGCCTCTGCTTCTGCAACGCCTGGTCCGGCCTCCGAGCCTTCATCCTCCACGCCTGGTTGTTACACCCCCGTCCAAAGTACATCCGGTACCTCGGCATCGTCGGCCAGTTTCTGGGCCTCTAGCCAGACGTCATCGCCGTCGTGGTCGGCCCCAAGACCGCCTTCGCCTGAGTCGCCGCCGTTGCCTTCCGCACGGTCGGCCCCCTGACCTGTCTCTACGTCATTGCCGCCGTTGCCTTCCACGCGGCCGGCCTCCGGACCTGCTCTGTAGCCGCTGCCGTCTTCCACGCGGCCGGCCTCCGGACCCGCTCTGTAGCTGCCGCCGTCTTCCACGCGGCCGGCCTCCGGACCCACTCTGTAGCCGCCGCTGTCTTCCACGCAGCCGGCCTCCGGATCTGTTCTGCCGGCCACTGCCACTTTTTCCGGCCCCGGAACAGCTGAATTGTGAACTTTTGTGCTGTCGCCCCCCAGGTTGACCTTCTGACCTCTTTGGACATTTGCCTCCCTGTTTTGAACTGTTTTTGTGTCTTTGTGGGCTCAGTTTTGGTTCATGCTCCTCGTCTTTGTTTGGTTTTGTTCCCTCCGTCCGGGTCCCCCGCCTCCCGCCCTGGGTGGGTTGTTCTGTTTGTCTTGTGTTTTGGTTCTCGGGTTTGGGCTGTCGGGAGCCGGCCCTTGGGGGGGGGGGGGGGGGGGGGGGGGGGGGGGGGGGTGATGTCATGATCCTGGGCCATGTTGGCCCAGCAGTCTTAGTATTCATGTCTTTTTGTGTATTGTTCCTTATTTGATTTCCCCTTGTGACTTTTAATATGCAAAACACACTAACATTTTTATTGCAGGATTATAGGTCCAGGGTGGTGCTTCTCCAGGGGAGGAGATGCCCTGCTGTTGCCTGGGACATGATCTGGCTACCCTTTTTCTTTCAGACAGGAATCTGAGTTTGATGAGTTGACGCATGAGAGTGTCCATGCGTCAAGTGGTGGGGTCCAGAATTAACACTAAACAATGTTTACTATTATTGTTGCAGTGAGTTGTGTGATTAACCGTTTATTTACATGTTCAGATGAGGCTTTGATGGCCTATTAGTGAAGTTCACTGAACTAAAGAATGTGGTTTGATGATTGTTGACATGCTCTCCAAATAGAAGTTTTTCTGAAATACAGGTGCAGCAGTGAGACGCGAGAAACATTCCAGGCATAGCGGACAGCCCAGGCAGTGGTTGAGGTCAAAGGTCAAGCTGGTTGGGGCCCATCATGAGATCAGACCTTGGAGCCACAGCAAGGACCATTTCAACTGCCTGCAAAATAGCGAGAGACCCTCCTGGATTTATCAGAGCCACTGCAAAGAGGTCGAGGTCCCAGGAAACCCCGGCACCCCCAAGACAGCACAATAGAGAAATCTCACACTTGGTTGTTTCAGTGGTGAGGGGGGAGTGCTGATTGAGCCCCCGTAGGGTAAGCTCGCACTTCAACCTCCAGCCTCTGATCAACTCTAGGGCAACCAAGTGCGAGGCGTGACGCACCTGTGTGCAACCATGGGAAGGTGGACCCTCTTGGTTACCTTGACTACGACGCTCACCTTTACAGGACCCCAGCTGGTGCCGGAATCAGCTGAACCAGGAGGAAGGCAGAGAGGATGGACACATGACAACTCTCACCTAAGAGACATGATGCAAGACCACATCCCTCCATGGATGAATAATGCCTGGTACCGTTATATCCACGACAGAACAAAGGCAGAATCGGCAAATACAGACTATTATGTCTGTTCCCATCTACCCAGCACGGCAACATACCCCACACTATATATGTTCCTGGACCAACTCTCAGGGAAGAACTACTCTATGATATTAGCAGAGAAAGGGGACTTTGTGTCCTCTTCAACAACACATGCTGCATTTACATAAAGAAGACGCACATTCATCAAACATGACTGACTGAATGTTTTGAGACAGATCCAGCAGGCCCAAAATCAGGACTATCCATGACGAAAAGGAGTGCCTGAGAGGATCGTCCACAAGATGGGAGCTGAGGCCAGGAGAGAGACTTCAGGAGGATCAGAGATCATCTTCAGCACAGCAGACATCACACAGAGAGCTGTGCTACTGAGCTTCCAGGAGATCAAGAGGAGACTTCCCACAGCAAGATTTTAAATACAATGAAAGATTCAATGTTGACGCTGAGGAAGACAACTAAGGTGTACGACGTGCTCTGCCTTAAACCTTCAGCAGCGTTGGAAGGAGTCTAAGGATGACATCATGATTCTGTGAAAAGCACAGGAACCAGAAGCTATGGTGGTGATAACAGCAGTTTCCTATGAGGTCTGCAGCTTTGGAAATAGCTGAGACCCATGTTGACAAACAACAAAACTAACTGGTATGTTTGAATGTCTATTCTACATACATTTGGACTCTGGTCCTATGGACAGTGATGGAAACAACTGGAAGAGACATTTATGACACCCTGCAGAACTCAAACCACTCTGCAGAGAGACATGTGATTGCACACCCGGAGGAAGCATCACCAAGATGGGATGTTTTTGAAAATGTTATCTTCTTATTTTCACTATTAAATTAACAATTTCTTTGTTTGTTTGTAGGATGCAGTTTGCCATGAGATGAGATCAATGGGGAATGGGATATCCGCTAATACCTTTGTTAAACTCTGTACTTTTACAGTGATTTAGGGTGATTTGACGTATGCTGAGTATAACAATGTTGGCATTGAAACTGTCAGACATGAGGTATTCATAACTGGAAACCTTTCTAGCATAAAGGTCAATAAAGGGGGGAATGTTAGGTTTTGTATTGTTGATTGTCATTTATGCTTAGAAACATTTACTCATATATGCTTAGAAGTGTATAATCAATTGTAGATTGAAAGAATGTCTCATCCTAGGAGGTCTGTAACAACTCTGTGTAGCATGAAGAGGGGAGTGCGTTCACTCCTCTACAGAGTGTGTTCTGGCATAGATCACACCCCCTAGGAGAGGTTTTATCTTTTCTTGATATATGGTATAGCAAACACATGTATATCTGTTTGAGTGTAAGAGCCTTTTGTTTAGATGGACCTGTTAGACTCCTGGCACCAGCTTTGGGGAGTCTTCACAGGGTCACATCTTGACCTCACACACACAGTATTCTTTGTTCACATGTATACCTATGTAAGATGTTATATGTTAATGACCCAATGCATATTCATGTCACCACAATAAAAGGAGTGCTCTGGGGAGTCTGGCTGAGAGTCTGACGGAGGTCAAGTGGTGGGACGACACTTGGCTCCAGCCAGGTCTCCCTCATGCATGAGTGAACCAGAGAACTTTGGTGCCTTGAGTCTTGCTTTTTGATGCGTAGCAGATTGTCCTTAACGTTCCAGCGAATAGGTTTATGCTACAAACCTATCATTCCCCATCACATTCATCACCTGTTCCTCTGGTGTCTCTGATTGGAGCACGCAGGTGTGTGGAGCAGAGTGAAATCACACACCTAATGCTGTTTTATTCAACCTGGATCTTAGAAGTTTTGATTAACATTAAACATCGTTTAAACTGTATGTGTCTGTATCATGGGATGGATACACCCTTAACAAAACAAAGAAAATATGACAAAACCAAGTTTCCCCTCATGCTGTCGGACGCGCCTCGAGGAACCAGCTCCATTTAAAACATCACAGTCAGCTGTAAAGTGTCGTTTCAGTTTTTATACAACGTCAAAGAGCTTCATGTTTGAACAATCAGCTTATGAACAGGAATAAGAACTGCACGGTCTGGTTCTGGTTGGATGCAAACAAACAGCTGTGTGTTAATCCAGCAGCAGGACATGCTGAAGGATGGAGCTCAGCTGAAACGACCCATGAAGTCCTCACCGGCTCTCATGTTTACCATCAGGACCAATCCCTGCAACTGAAATATAATCTACTAAATATCAGAGTTGAGAAGGTTGTGTTAGCGTGTGGTGAGTGCAGGATGGGGAACTCCATCCTAACGACAAATTTCATTTCCTTAAAAAGGCATCAAGAGAAGCTTTGAAGGTAAAATGAAGGTTTTAGTGTGAAACTGTTTTATCACAGCTGCAGATTTATGAATACACAGAAGGATTTAGTTTCACATATTTCCAGACAAAGCCATAAATGCTTCTTAATCAATGCCAGTAATATACTGCTTCCTGCTTTTAAGCTTGGGCGAGCCGTAGATGCTGAAATATTGCACCGTTCTTACAAATAAAGCAAACAAATGAAGAAATGTATTTCTATGATCTTACTCCATGGCCACATTCATACATGTGAAAGTCTCCATCCTGTGTCCTTCACTTATCTTTATCCCAGGTGTGAATTGTTCACAGGACTTAAAAGAAGGACGTGTCTGTGGAAAAGCCTCCGGTCAACCTAAACTCCTCCCTCATCAGGACACAGAAGAGCCGCTGAGGTAGCGCCTTGGAGTACGCTGCTGGTCGCGGCACACAGGTGCGCAACAAGATCTCCCGGCCTGCTGGAGGAGGGAAGTCTGGTACTCTGCTGCTTCCCCCAGTTTGCTTCTTGTCAGATCCCAAGTCCTCATCAACGGGCGCCAGAAGGGCAGCCTAAAAGGGCAAAGGTCAAATGTTAGCAAACAGCAACCGATTCTGAAGAAATGTGCTGTGTGAGGTGGACACGTGGATATTCAGAAGTACTGTAACCGAGTCTCCCACAGAGACCTGATCCAGACTACAGCTCACAAACACAGCTCCTCTACCAACACCTCACTGCAGCTGCACGCTGCTGATCCTGTCTGTGATTAGAATTGATTTCAATGAAAGTAAAACAGAGGCTCGTTTTCTATGAGCGTAAACAGGGATCTCTGTTTCAGTCTCAGTGTAACAAACATGTTTACTGAATAAGTCTTTCAGTAAATATGTTTTTGTTAATTCAGTAAAATCTGCAAAGATGACTTGTACTGTTGGCAGCAACAAACAGAGACAACAGAGTGTGGGACAGACAGGAAGTCAGGACACGTCTATGTGCTTCACAGTGGGACTAGAACATGAACATTTCTACACACACCACAGGCAGCAACTGTGCAAACCTCCACGTCACCAAAAACACCCTGCAGGTCCCATCAGAGCAACGGCAGAGAAAACAGATGAAACATCTGTTAGAGAGAAAAACGCTTCGCTGCTTTCTTACCTGTATGACACCAAAAGGGTTTTGTTTTTTTAATAATAAAGGCTTCATGTTTTACAGTTAAAGCTCATGCAAACATGCAGGCTTATTTGTCTGATCAATGCAAAAGTTCAAACATGTCTCTTTCAAGCCTCATTATCAGCTGAGATCATAGTAAAGACACAGACAGGATCCTGATCCATCTGTTCTTTATATAATTACTGTTTTTACTGTAATGTACAGTGGGGCAAAAAAGTATTTAGTCAGCCACCGATTGTGCAAGTTCCCCCACCTAAAATGATGACAGAGGTCAGTAATTTGCACCAGAGGTACACTTCAACTGTGAGAGACAGAATGTGAAAAAAAAATCCATGAATTCACATGGTAGGATTTGTAAAGAATTTATTCGTAAATCAGGGTGGAAAATAAGTATTTGGTCAATAACAAAATACAACTCAATACTTTGTAACATAACCTTTGTTGGCAATAACAGAGGTCAAACGTTTACTACAGGTCTTTACCAGGTTTGCACACACAGTAGCTGGTATTTTGGCCCATTCCTCCATGCAGATCTTCTCGAGAGCAGTGATGTTTTGGGGCTGTCGCCGAGCAACACGGACTTTCAACTCCCGCCACAGATTTTCTATGGGGTTGAGGTCTGGAGACTGGCTAGGCCACTCCAGGACTTTCAAATGCTTCTTACGGAGCCACTCCTTTGTTGCCCGGGCGGTGTGTTTTGGATCATTGTCATGTTGGAAGACCCAGCCTCGTTTCATCTTCAAAGTTCTCACTGATGGAAGGAGGTTTTGGCTCAAAATCTCACGATACATGGCCCCATTCATTCTGTCCTTAACATGGATCAGTCGTCCTGTCCCCTTGGCAGAAAAACAGCCCCATAGCATGATGTTTCCACCCCCATGCTTCACAGTAGGTATGGTGTTCTTGGGATACAACTCAGTATTCTTCTTCCTCAAAACACGCCGAGTTGAGTTTATACCAAAAAGTTCTACTTTGGTTTCATCTGACCACATGACATTCTCCCAATCCTCTGCTGTATCATCCATGTGCTCTCTGGCAAACTTCAGACGGGCCTGGACATGCACTGGCTTCAGCAGCGGAACACGTCTGGCACTGCGGGATTTGATTCCCTGCCGTTGTAGTGTGTTACTGATGGTGACCTTTGTTACTTTGGTCCCAGCTCTCTGCAGGTCATTCACCAGGTCCCCCGTGTGGTTCTGGGATCTTTGCTCACCGTTCTCATGATCATTTTGACCCCACGGGATGAGATCTTGCGTGGAGCCCCAGATCGAGGGAGATTATCAGTGGTCTTGTATGTCTTCCATTTTCTGATGATTGCTCCCACAGTTGATTTTTTCACACCAAGCTGCTTGCCTATTGTAGATTCACTCGTCCCAGTCTGGTGCAGGTCTACAATACTTTTCCTGGTGTCCTTCGAAAGCTCTTTGGTCTTGGCCATGGCGGAGTTTGGAGTCTGACTGTTTGAGGCTGTGGACAGGTGTCTTTTATACAGATGATGAGCTCAAACAGGTGCCATTCATACAGGTAACGAGTGGGGGACAGAAAAGCGTCTTACAGAAGGCGTTACAGGTCTGTGATAGCCAGAGATTTTCCATGTTTGAGGTGACCAAATACTTATTTTCCACCCTGATTTATGAATAAATTCTTTACAAATCCTACCATGTGGATTCATGGATTTTCTTTTTCACATTCTGTCTCTCACAGTTGAAGTGTACCTCTGGTGCAAATTACTGACCTCTGTCATCATTTTAGGTGGGGGAACTTGCACAATCGGTGGCTGACTAAATACTTTTTTGCCCCACTGTAGAATATCATGGACATAATACACAGACTGCAGCCTAAATACTGCTAAAAACAGCCCTTTTTATTTTTAAGGTTTTACGTATTAACCTTTTATTATAAGAGTCACCTGATCCTTAGCAGGTGTGTATACAGAAATACACCAGGTCATTATTTAAGCAAAGCGAAGCCAAACTGCTCCTGTGTGACAGATGAAGTCCACCTTTAAACAGCATTTAGATGCTGCTAATGAATCTCGATTAGTGGCAGCACTGGTCTGTGGGCTGGGGACACTGGTGCCACCAGTACAGCG